GTTGGTTAAGGCTTGCATGTGTAACTCAAGTGCTATAGCTAACAATTATTTCCCAAAGATATGAAAATCAAACAAACGAAATTGAATGCGTCAAAATATAGAAAAGTTAACATATTTATTTTGAAAGAATATACAAAGATAAATGCTCGAATGTGTCGCGCCAGATGGTTTTTCTTGCCCGAGTCCTTTCTTCAAATCTACAAATCAACCAATCGTTCTTGCATTGATTACTGTTGCCATATATGGTCTGGCTTTTCTGCTGTTCACCAAGAGATCCTCGACAAAATCCAGAGACGTATATTCTATGTGATAGATCCTGATCTGGCATCTCGTCTACAGTCACTTTCTCACAGACTTTGTCATTTCTACTCATATTTTCATGGCAACTGCTCTGACGAGCTTCTTTGACTGGTACCCAAACTGCATGAATTTAAGTGTGATACAAGTTTACTCTCGGTCCCACACTTTCACTGACGAAACGGTTAAATGTAGCCGTCTCTTCTACTCTAACAGCTTCTTATATTGCACTTCCCGACAGTGGAACTCCCTTCCTCTTATTGCTTCCCTAATAGTTATAATCTTCAAATATTCAAATGTATGTCAATCGACATCTGATACCTTGATCTTGATCCTCGTCCTTCTATTTATCCATTCCTCAAACACGCCTCTTTAATCTTGCTCTCAGTCTCAGTTGCCTGGCGTGAAAATGGCACTCCCACCTTGCGGGGCGTGATATGCTTAAAAAAAATTATATTCCATGACCGTCCTGGGTAAGACGAAAAACTACATCCACGTTCTGGTTTAAACGATAAACTACATCCAACAGCAAGACATCCGATCAGGTTTTGAGGAGCGTGAAACCAACTCTTAATTTGTGGTGTTCCCATGTCTCCCCTGACCTTGGGTGGTAGCACCTGTTAGGGTCAGAGCTTTGGGCAAATAGTTAACTTCGAAACTGGGGTCAAAACATTATGAAAGTCTAAAAATACATTTGTGCAAAACAGCAATGAATTTTTGAAGAAAATATTATTACCAGCAATACATTTAAAAATATATATATATACATTATCACCAATACATTTAAAAAATATATTACCAACAATACATTTAAAAAATATATTACCAGCACTGCATTTGAAAATTATATTACAAACAATATATATATATATATATATATATATATATATATATATATATATATATATATATATATATATATATACTAGCAATACATTTTAAAATATATATATATTACCAATATACATTTAAAAATATATATTACTAGCAATACATTTTTAAATAATATATTACAAACAAAATATATTTTTTTAAATATAAAAATATTTAAATTATATATATATATATATATATATATATATATATATATATATATATATATATAAATAAACAATACATTTGAAATATATATATATATATATATATATATATATTGTCAATATACATTTAAAAATATATATTACCAGCAATACATTTTAAATAATATATTAGCAGCAATACATTTTTTAAAAAATATTAATAGCAATACATTTATATAAATATATATATATATATATATATATATATATATATATATATATTTACCAGTAATTCATTTTATATATATATATATATATATATATATATATATATATATATATATATATATATATATATATTACCATTACCACCAGTACATTTTTAAATATTATATTACCAGCAATACATTTTTTTTTAAATATATTACCAGCAATACATCTTAAAAATATACATTACCAGCAATATATTTTTGTAAAAAATATTAGCAGCAATGTTTTTTTACAGAAAAAGTTGATATGCCGTAAAGCAAACCAAACCAAACCAATATTCGATGACCATTATTTTTAAATAAAACACACTAATGCAAAGAGTATTAAAATTTAAGCCATTAGGATATATTTATTTAAAAAATGGTGTATATTTTAAATCTTTTTTTGCAACCCTCATCCTGTCAACTAAACATGCGCGAATTTCTAGTGACATTGGTTGGTGATAAGGCTTATTATACGTACTGATATATTGACGAAAGATTTCTGCATGACAGCAAAATATGTTGCTATGTGAAAATGAATGATTCCACATCCTGTTATGACCTATTGTAGTGTTGTCTGCTTGTTCATGTTCTTAGAGAAATAGAATGTGTAGGTAAACGTATGCACAATAATCCCGCTCGATTTCTTTCTCATACAAGCAAGCACTTATATAACTGAATATAATTGCCACACTGAAAATATGTTAATAAAAATGCAGACGTAAGATTTATTGTCGTTGTTTTCTTTAAGTAATAATAAAATAATGAATGTAATATATACTTCACCGATACTGCCGATAGAACTGTTCGTTAGTTTTTCTAAGTCACAGAGTCAATTTTCACAAGTCATCGTGACCGAGTGTTTGAGCGGACTGCCCTTGTTCCATGCTGTTGATCATGTCAGATATCCTCCAAGAAAACTTAAGATCCGATCAGTATAGTTGTAGAATAGTGAAATGTGCCTGAGCAGGTGTCTGAAAAAGGGATTAGCTATCCAACCTAGTAGATGGGCCTCCTCGGAGAAAGATTTCCTTTTGAAATATAAACCAGGTTCAGGTTATTTTGAAGAAGAGATAATCCTATAGAATTAAAGAAAAAAGATAATACAAATACAAATAATATTTAGAAATATTTTAAAGTCAATTATTTTTCACTAAAATTGTGGTTCAATTTGTTTCTGGGCGATTTTTATTTTAGCTTCACAATAATTTTTCATTATTCGTCACGATTCCTTAATTATTTAGACTTCAGTAGGATTTCCTTACATTCAATTACTTCAGAAAAGATTTCATTCCGATCAATCTTCAAAGCTGTAGATATTTAGCATTCGAACGATGCGAAAGATCAGTCATAGTTTAGGACAGAAAGAATATTTCCAATAGAAATAGAACAAGTACAATAAACGCTAATTAATGAAAAACCTGAAAAACAATAGCGATAACTTTAGCTGTTTTATTCGTAGGAAGCAAGCGATCAAGGCTACAGCTGGTTGAAATTCATGAAACTATTCTCTTGGAAATGTATATTTTTTTTCACAAAAATAGATTTCTCAAGTCCAGCAGCTGTTACTGATCTTTCTCAGTATTCTTTTCTTGCTTTTTGCATGTAGTGTGGAACGTCTGCATCTTGATTATGTCATTATTCTATCTTTGAGTTACATGTACTATCCATTTCAGTTGTTGCCGCTGTTGAATGTCTTTAAGTGATGTGGTTATAGTTCATTCTTTGTGATTCAGTAATATCAGTCCACAAGGTTTGACGAAAGATGTTTCTCACTGAGACTTACTTCTTTTACTCGCCCGTAGCCATTTTTAACCAACTATATGAGAAAGCTGTTTAGAGTTTTATGATTTGTTAGGAACGATTGGATTAGATCAAATATTAGTCCTGTGTCATCCTAGCGATGGAGCTTCCGTAGAAAGCCAGCATGCAAAACATGTCAAACGCCTTCGAGATATTTACAGTCACAAATCGAGCTTCGCCGTTTTTCTCTAGAGCTTAATATACAAATTCAGTGATGGACGTTAACACATCGGCGAGAGACCTGGAAAAACAGAAGCCATATTGTTTGTCCGTTTTTTTTTCCATTCAACATCTATCTGCTTGATTTCATTGATTTGACTTGCAACATTTTGAAGATATTGGTTTCAATGTGAGTCAACTATGTTTCTTTTTTCTTATCTTTTCTTAATTATTTAGTATTCTATTTTCTAGTATTCTTCCATTTCTTTTTGTTTCTTTCTTAGTATCAATCTCTTTCAAGGATGTTTGTCGTCCCGTGAGACGCTTTTCATCCATCTAGATAATTCTGGATGTGTCTCAAATACTTTGGCTAAGGAGGATAAATCAATAAACTTTTTTGGTTACTCCATTTTGGCCATACCATTTGATTCCATTTTACAAGAGGTTGTCAAACCATGTATTTAGGATGGATTATTTTTCGAGTAAAAAATGGATTGTAAGTTCCACATTGTTGTTGGAGGCTTCGGTTTCAAAGAGTTATGTCTTCCTTCCAAAGGAAAAGTGGTATACCAAAACACTAGCACTGACTCGAAAATCTCCATTAATATACAGTTTTTGTTTTTTTTTCTACAACGAAAACTTAGTTAATCGACTACAGTAGATTTCTCTTTCCTTATTTGTGGATATGGCTGATGTGACTTTGATTTTACAGTCAGGAGCAACTATGCTAGCAACATTTCTGACTGGTGTAAGGCATTGTCTATTATAATAGTGGATGATTTGTATGTTCCATGTTGACTTTTCTCTTTTAGGCTAGTTCCATAAAAGTTGTGTCCCAAATGTGTAATGGCGTCACCAGCAGGCCACCTTTTGCATACAGAGAGCGTCACGATTTACATTTCTTTTCGGCTGATGTTGGCTAGGCGTTGATTGTTTCTACTTTCCATTTAAAAAAAGATCAAATTGATTTTCTTGTCGAACATTTAGTTGATAGATTAGGTGACTGACTAGACCTTTCATTACAAGACATCTTTCTGGTGTGTCACCGATGGACGCGTTTTTTTGGTAACCCTCGTGATGGACGGGTTACACGGTATTCACATATAATCTTAGGCATTTCCATGAGGCTAAAGTGGTGGGTTTACGGCAGAGTTTTCTTCTTCTCTATAGTTAACCATTAAGATGGCTAATAAGCAACCTGATTTAGTATCAGATTTCAACTTCTCCCAGATGAATTGGCATCACCACAGTTCCCGGTGTTCATCTCATCCACAAGTACGTACATACACACACACACACACACACACTGCAGACACGCATACAAAATATACATAAAAGAGATAGATGGGGTTGAAACTGATCTAAATTTTCAACTTAGTATAGGTGCCCTTAATTCCTATCTGAGAGCTGATACATTCCAACGACCCATTTCATTTTTCCTCCGTTTGAGAGTGGCAAAATAAAACGAACCTCGCCCATTGATCATTTTTTTTAAATTTCTGTGAAGAAGAATACAACATACAATAACATAATGAATAAATGTATTCAAATATCAGTAAAATACATCATATGCTCATTCCAGATTTTGATCAGCGAAAGTAGGGTTATCATACACACACACACACACATACACGCATATATATATATATATATATATATATATATATATATATATATATATATATATTATTTGCCCTATAAAGGAAGATAACTCAAAATACAGCCGCGGCACTTCTGAATTCAACATGATGATACGCCGAGACGTACGCGGAACACCATCGCTTAAACCGAAACGAATCTTTACTCTTCTCAGGCATTAAATGAATAAATTTTATTGATTTAAATTACACTTGTCTTTATTTTCATTCATTTTTGTTTATCCCAACTACATGAGATATCCATTTTAAAAATTGTCTAAATTATTTAATGAGATATGTCTTTATATATATATATATATATATATATATATATATATATATATATATATATATAAAATAAAAATAATAATTGTAATTTAGTCTGTACTTATGTATTGAGCACTTTTAAAAAATAAAACAAAAAATACTAAAGAACTTCTGATTATTTACCCAACGTGTTCTTTTCTATTTTTCTAGGTATTTGCACACACACAAGCATACACACACATATTTATATACACACACACACACACACACATATATATATATATATATATATATATATATATATATATTTGTGGGGGGGGTGTAGTGGATACCGACTCGGATTGAGAAATTGGAGAGCCGAGCTCGAATTTCAGTCGAATCCATTACATTCACTTACATTCTAATCCACTTCTTCTCTCTTCAGCTGTAGGAAATTAGCAGAACAGAGTGGGTTCTATATCCTTGGATGGCACCTGGTCTAGGAGAATGATAACTCTAAATTCAAAACCTGTGGAGTGTCGTTTGGGGACCTTGTGGCACGTAGTTCGCAGGTCTCCTTTAAAAAGTGTGGTTGGTTCTGAACAAAGCTTTCACCTCTATAATCAAATCACATGTGCTGATGTCTGGGCTGTCGGTTCCTAAGAACTGACCGGCTTGACCCTCATACGTCGAAATATATATAAGACGTGAGAGTCCTCCACACACATACACACAGAAAAAAAAAAAAACGTAGTACCTTATCTGTCATTTTTAATGAAACATGCATAAAGGAAGGATTGCTGCCTAAATATATATATATATATATATATATATATATATATATATATATATATATATATATATATATATATAAAAAAAATTGTTTTGTTTCTTCCCCACTAACATCTCTTCTTATGCCTAGATGATCTAAGGATGAAAGCAAATCCAAGTGTAGAAGATTCCATATAGTAAATCTACCAAACAAAATGTCCCTTTTAAATATTTTTGTTTTTCTTTATTATTTTATCATTCTCTCTCTCTCTCTCTCTCTCTCTCTCTCTCTTGTTCTCTTTCTCTCACACACACACTGCTTCAACTATCTGTGTTTTAACATCTGACAGCAGCTAAATAAGACGACTCTCCTAAACTGACTAATGTTTGAACTTAACAGAAGAATTGGTATATAATTCAAGTGCATCCTTGTAATATAAAATAATAAACTGATCCACAGAAAGAGCTCAATGTATTCATTATTACAGAGCAAATAATTAACACAGAATAAAGTCTAAATTCACCTCATATGGGGAATAAACGTATATCAACCCCGGTATGGAGTGATACCCCGTTCTGTCCTATCAAGTCCTGTAGGGACTCCATACCGGGGTTGATAAGACAGATGAGACGATGTATATTTTCGTCTGTTGAAATATATATGTGTGTAACGTTAGTACAAATATAATTGTTGTCATTTAGCTGATTGATATTATGTTCTCGACTCGAGAGTTTTGTAGACGGCAAATGGTTCCGTTCACTCGTCTAGATATCAGCATATATAAAGAATCACATCAACACAGAAAGAAAAGGATAAAATGTAGATTGTAATAATCAGTTCTGTATGCAAACAAACAACTTCAAAACAAAACAGAACATCCTTAGAAATGCCTTTAAAAAATCCTGTAGAACTGGAACAGTCTACCCCAGTGAGCGAAATAAAGTGTTAAATTCGACACTCCAACCACCTGAAGAAGGCCAGAGCGTACAACGGCCGAAACGTTGTAATAAATATGGTGGCAAAGATGAGGACAATAGTCCGAATAATGTAAATAATGTACATAATACCTCATCTCAGAAATATAGACATTTAAAAATGTTGTACTTACTTATAGCTAAAGATATATTAACCCCTGTTTAAAACAACGCGTTATTCACAACACCAATTGGCGTATTTTTTGCACTTGGGGATTTGATTTAAAACTTATAGCATTGTCAAGCGTGATTTAGCCGGACATGGACATTATATAGTGTTTAAGGGAGTGTGTTCACTCGAAAGCAGATTTACTTCGTTGTAGGTTTTCGAATGAAAATTAATACCGATTCTATTGACAGAATTGTATACAATCGATTAACTTTATATGGAAGCAAGTTTTCCGCTCGACTTGACTAAGTGGTTGGCTGATGCTAACTTGATCATGGCTGAATGATGCTTCATTGTGGTAGATATTAGGCCAATAAAAGCTAAAATCAAAATTTGTTCTTTGAATTTACATCAACTTTATTCTATTTGAGCATTAACATTTCTACAGGACACGGAATATTCAGGTTAGAGCCTATTTTTATTTGCCAGGGACAAGGTGTATTTACTTTTATGCGTGAGTGAATCTACAGCTCATATACAGCAGAAGGGAAAGAAAATCCACCATGAGCTATAATTTATTATGTAGAAAGTACATCTTAGTTAGACACAAAGGTACAGGTATGTGGCCCTCAATATTAATGAGAAAGTAGACGAAAATACTAACCATTACTTCACTCAAAGCACCAGGGCCTGAATGCATTTCTTTCCTTCGTTATCAGCTGGCATATGCTCAGGCATGTACGCAATAATAGGAATTGCGAATAAATTAATTTCGGTGATATTTTTGCAAAGTTTGCTTATAAAACGTAGTCAGTGTTTGTAAATGTATTAACAATAACATAAAGATATAGGAAACATCGCCTTTTTTCTTTTTACATCGGTTTCATTGTTCATAGTAAACTGCTAATATTAATATTGAGCTAAAAGTTAGAAAATAGGATATAATACTCTGTTGATACTGGTAGATACGAACTGACACTATAGTATAATGAACTAGCTGATTCTTCACACAATTAGTATTCATAAGTTTTTGCTGCAAATCAAATGATACCAAATATCCTTAGTAATTTAGGAATCTTAGTGATTTCAACAATAAAGTTTTATGCATGATTTTGTTTCTTTCTTCTTTTGAAATAATTCTAATTGTCTTGTAATTCTTTTCTCCAATTTGCAAGAATTTTGATAATCATAATTACAAACATCAGTTTCAAATTTAAAAAAAAAATTGCTACCGTTTTTTGGCAATGTTCCAATATTATTTGAGCTTCCTAAAAATGTGCAGTTTTTCAATGATAACTAACAGAACAGCAACCTCAGTAGGTAAAAACTATTTTTCTTTGCTTCTAACCGTTGTCTCCTGGCTTGAATTAAGTTTTCCCTATCAAGTAAAGTGTTGGCATACGCGAATGCGTATCGTCAACATACCCATTTAAATATTAAAAAAAAAAACTCTAATTGCATTATATTTTTGAAGTATCAACATTTGATGTTTACATTTTCTTAAATATTTTAATCATCATTCATTTCAACATTAAGTAATTATGTCTGCGCTGTCAGATGTGTAATGATGACAATTTCTGATGTAGTAAATATTGGCATACACACACACACACACACACACACACACTATCTCTCTCTCTCTCTCTCTCTCTCTCTCTCTCTAACTCACACAAAGTTTAAACATATATCTGCAGACATTATATATGCAGATTGCTATATAATCATTAACTCATTTCTTATACAAACTAAGTTTCCATTTAATTCCAGGCAGAATCTTTTTGAGAAGAAATGATGGTAGAGGAAGAATTTGAGTGGAAGAATTCTGCCAGGCAGTGCAGTACGAAATTGTGATTTGCCTCTCTTGAAACTTTTGAGAAAAAAAATCGTAAAGGAAGAATTTGAGGGAAGAATTCTGCCAGGCAGTGCAATACGAAATTGTGATTTGCCTCTCTTGAATCTTTTGAGAAGAAATGATGGTAGAGGAAGAATTCGAGGGAAGAATTCTGCCAGGCAGTGCAGTACGAAATTGTGATTTGCCTCTCTTGAATCTTTTGAGAAGAAAAAATCGTAAAGGAAGAATTTGATTGGAAGAATTCTGCCAGGCAGTGCAATACGAAATTGTGATTTGCCTCTCTTGAAACTTTTTGAGAAAAAAGATCGTAAAGGAAGAATTTGAGTGGAAGAATTCTGCCAGGCAGTGCAATACGAAATTGTGATTTGCCTCTCTTGAATCTTTTGAGAAGAAAAAATCGTAAAGGAAGAATTTGAGTGGAAGAATTCTGCCAGGCAGTGCAATACGAAATTGTGATTTGACTCTCTTGAATCTTTTTGAGAAGAAAAGATCGTAAAGGAAGAATTTGATTGGAAGAATTCTGCCAGGCAGTGCAATACGAAATTGTGATTTGCCTCTCTTGAATCTTTTTGAGAAGAAAAGATCGTAAAGGAAGAATTTGATTGGAAGAATTCTGCCAGGCAGTGCAATACGAAATTGTGATTTGCCTCTCTTGAAACTTTTTGAGAAAAAAGATCGTAAAGGAAGAATTTGAGTGGAAGAATTCTGCCAGGCAGTGCAATACGAAATTGTGATTTGCCTCTCTTGAATCTTTTTGAGAAGAAATGTTGGTAGAGGAAGAATACGAGTGGAAGAATTCTGCCAGGCAGTGCAATACGAAATTGTGATTTGACTCTCTTGAATCTTTTGAGAAGAAAAGATCGTAAAGGAAGAATTTGATTGGAAGAATTCTGCCAGGCAGTGCAATACGAAATTGTGATTTGCCTCTCTTGAATCTTTTTGAGAAGAAAAGATCGTAAAGGAAGAATTTGAGTGGAAGAATTCTGCCAGGCAGTGCAATACGAAATTGTGATTTGACTCTCTTGAATCTTTTTGAGAAGAAAAGATCGTAAAGGAAGAATTTGATTGGAAGAATTCTGCCAGGCAGTGCAATACGAAATTGTGATTTGCCTCTCTTGAATCTTTTTGAGAAGAAAAGATCGTAAAGGAAGAATTTGATTGGAAGAATTCTGCCAGGCAGTGCAATACGAAATTGTGATTTGCCTCTCTTGAAACTTTTTGAAAAAAGATCGTAAAGGAAGAATTTGAGTGGAAGAATTCTGCCAGGCAGTGCAATACGAAATTGTGATTTGCCTCTCTTGAATCTTTTTGAGAAGAAAAGATGGTAGAGGAAGAATTCGAGTGGAAGAATTCTGCCAGGCAGCGCAATATGAAATTGTGATTTGCCTCTCTTGAATCTTTTTGAGAAGAAAAGATGGTAGAGGAAGAATTCGAGTGGAAGAATACTGCCAGGCAGTGCAATACGAAATTGTGATTTGCCTCTCTTGAATCTTTTGAGAAGAAAAGATGGTAGAGGAAGAATTCTACTGCCAGGCAGTGCAATTTGTGATTTGCCTCTCTTGAATCTTTTGAGAAGCAAAATCGTAAAGGAAGAATTTGATTGGAAGAATTCTGCCAGGCAGGGCAATACGAAATTGTGATTTGCCTCTCTTGAATCTTTTGAGAAGAAAAGGTCGTAAAGGAAGAATTTGATTGGAAGAATTCTGCCAGGCAGTGCAATACGAAATTGTGATTTGACTCTCTTGAATCTTTTTGAGAAAAAAGATCGTAAAGGAAGAATTTGAGTGGAAGAATTCTGCCAGGCAGTGCAATACGAAATTGTGATTTGACTCTCTTGAATCTTTTTGAGAAGAAAAGATGGTAAAGGAAGAATTTGAGGGAAGAATTCTGCCAGGCAGTGCAATACGAAATTGTGATTTGCCTCTTGAATCCTTTTGAGAAAAAAAGATCGTAAAGGAAGAATTTGAGTGGAAGAATTTGCCAGGCAGTGCAATACGAAATTATGATTTGACTCTCTTGAATCCTTTTGAGAAGAAAAGATCGTAAAGGAAGAATTTGAGTGGAAGAATTCTGCCAGGCAGTGCAATACGAAATTGTGATTTGCCTCTCTTGAATCTTTTGAGAAGAAAAGATCGTAAAGGAAGAATTTGATTGGAAGAATTCTGCCAGGCAGGGCAATACGAAATTGTGATTTGCCTCTCTTGAATCTTTTGAGAAGAAAAGGTCGTAAAGGAAGAATTTGATTGGAAGAATTCTGCCAGGCAGTGCAATACGAAATTGTGATTTGACTCTCTTGAATCTTTTTTGAGAAAAAGATCGTAAAGGAAGAATTTGAGGGAAGAATTCTGCCAGGCAGTGCAATACGAAATTGTGATTTGACTCTCTTGAATCTTTTTGAGAAGAAAAGATGGTAAAGGAAGAATTTGAGTGGAAGAATTCTGCCAGGCAGTGCAATACGAAATTGTGATTTGCCTCTCTTGAATCCTTTTGAGAAAAAAGATCGTAAAGGAAGAATTTGAGTGGAAGAATTCTGCCAGGCAGTGCAATACGAAATTGTGATTTGACTCTCTTGAATCTTTTTGAGAAGAAAAGATCGTAAAGGAAGAATTTGAGTGGAAGAATTCTGCCAGGCAGTGCAATACGAAATTGTGATTTGCCTCTCTTGAATCCTTTTGAGAAGAAAAGATCGTAAAGGGAGAATTCGAGTTTGAAAATCGTTCAAATCAAAATTTATCCTAAGAACTCTAAAACGATAGCTAAAGAAATAAGAAGCAATGTATTAGCAATGAGATATTCCGTTAGTATAATAAACTGAATGATATCTGCCTCGAGTGCAGTTGAGAAATAGATCGTGGTATGCTAATATCAGAATAACACGTCATTAATGAGACAGGTGGCGTTATTAATAAGTATAAGGTTATCCGGAAAGTTGATGCCGATGTCTAAGGGAAATTAAAACACAAAATAAAATTATGCCATTAAATATTTATTCAACTAAAAATGAATCATTTTGTTGCACAACCTTTTTCCATTTTTCCTTCAACTTAAAGATTCCACCTTCCCAGAATTTCGATGGTTTCTCAGCAAAGAACACATTAAAGCGGTTTTTTATGTGATCCAAAAAACTGAAATTTTTACCATTGAGATCAATTTGCAGTGACCTTAATAAATGAAAATTCGAAGGAGCAATGTCTGGTGAGTATGGCGGATAGGGCAACGTATACCAGGCAAGCTGTAACAATTTTTGCCGGGTCGCTAAATAAACGTGAGATCTGGCATTATCCTGATGGAAAACAGCGCCTTTCCTGTTCACTAATTCTGGGCGTTTTTCTTGAATTGCTGCCTTTAATTCGACAAGTTGCGAGCACTACTTTTCAGAATCAGTTGACTGGTTAGTTGGCAGAAACTCATAGTACAGAATTCCTTTCCAATCCCACCAGATGCACAGCATAACTTTCTTAGGATGAAGATATGCTTTCGAGTGTGCTAAATTTGGCTATTGTCGCTTATCCGATGATCGTTTTCACAAAACATTGTATTAAACGATCTATTTCTCATCACCCGTCGCAATTAGCTTCAAAAAGGGTGCATTTTATTTTGGTTATACATCAAATCAGAGATGAAATGCGATCCAAAATATTCTTTTAGTTAGATCATGTGGTACTCCAATATCGTAGCGATTTGAGTACCAAAACTTCACTAAGGTTTCATGGATGGTAGATTTTTATAGATTTAGTGTTTCTACGAATTTCTGTGTTGTGTAATTTGGGGTTATTCTCAATCAATATCTTGATTTGGTCGTCATCTTTAGTGGGCGGGTTCTGCCTGAGCGTTCTTTATCGATAAGGCTGCAATCACCAAGTCTAATCTTTTCGAACCACTTCCATATATTTCTGTCTGCTAAATCACCTTCACCTGACACATAACATACCGTTTTTTGTTGCTTGCGAGGCATTTTTGCCTTTACAGTAAAAAAAAAGCACCAGGTGTCTAAAACGAACCTTATAGTCTTCCATTTTCACAGGGATGCATAACTGACACGAATTAAGTAATTTTAAACTTTGTTTCTAAATAGATAGTTTGAAATGTGCTCTAATAGGAAATGTAAGCATATTATATCTGCCAATAAATTTGGCGTATTCTAATTTGTCGGAACATGAGCGACTAAACATCGGCAAGAAATTTCCGGACAACCTAATATCTAAAGCAAAATTGTGTTTTATACAAAGATTAAATATTCATACATTTACATGATTAATATCATGTTTTTAAAATTGTTGCTGCCACCAATTATCTAAAATTTCCAGCAATCTCCTCATTATTTTCTTCTCACCCCGACCTCCTTCTAAAAACTACATTGTCATAATTTCTACTGTTTTGGAGATGATTCTAAACGTGTTCATGATTCTGATATTCATATCTTACAAATTCTTCAGTTTTCCAACGAGATCATCCTACTTTTTGTTTATTCTGTCTCCAATCTGAGCCATTTTCTCAAAGCTATGCCCATAAGCTAACAGTTTCTATTTATTCATTAAAGACAGTAGGATCAAAATTTATTTTGAGCAGATGAAATGTCTAGATTACAATGTTGTATTGCGTTTGATTTTATTTTTTCGAAAACTGCCTTTGGTTTATGCCAACACTATTTTGTTGCATGTGTTATATTTCCAATACTCTAGCATTTCTCTTGAATCATAATTCTCTCTGGGTATTCATTTCAGGATGAACAAAAAGTATTATTTTCTTTGTGTAGATATCAACATAACAATATCAATTTTATTTCGTATGCAATATATACTACTTTTAGTATTTGTGATCTTTTTTTTTTTTTTTTCGACCTACTTAACATTGTTAAAATCGTTCTTGTTTTTTTTTTTCCATTTGATGCCCGTCTATCGATTTCTTTGCCTTTTCGAGTCATGGTTCTTCTTTGATTTCTGTCTCTATTCGGCAGATTTTATTATATTATTTGCAACGCTCTGGAAATAAAAAATGTTAAACATGCTTGACAATGTTACTTCAATAATAAAATAATTATTTATTGTGAAATAATTAAGCCCGTTTTTTGCTTTCTTTCTTCAATGAACAAGCCATTAAAACTTAATTATGCATGAATTTGACACTACTTATATTGCCTACGCAAAAATGATTTTTAACAGACCCTATATACACGGATAGTCTATAGTCATATAGATGACGAGGCCACTCAGCGCATTGCGAGAGCATGCAGTTCATTTGGAAAGATTAGACACAGGCTATGGGATAAACATAGTTTTAGACTGAAAACCTAACAATGTATACAAGGCTGTGATTCTCAAAATGCTTTTTCATGGTAGCGAAATATGGACAGTCTATTGCCGCCATATTAATTTTCTCGAGCAGTTGCAGCAGTGCTGCCTGCGATCCATCTGCAGGTTAAAGTCTCCATTGTCGAGATCCTAGAACGATGTGTTGTACCTAGCATAAAAATCCAGATAATCAAAGCGCATTTTCTTTGGCTGAGACACGTATGTCGGATGTTAGACTCAAGAATTTCCAAAGCAGTCGTCTTCAGGGAATTAGAGCACGGCTACAGACCACTCGTCAGACTGAAACTGAAGTACAAGGATATTGTTAAATACAGTCTTAAGAGATATGGCACTAACCTTGATAACTTTAAAGTACGGCCCAAGCCCCTAATATCAAAGACCATGCAACCTGGAGGAGAACTTGCAAAGAGGGCAATGATGCCTTCGGGAAAAAGTCGTACCAGTCTCCTCATTGAGAAAAGTGGCAAGGGAAGACTAACAGTAGCACTCAGAACTCACTTTGTGAAGGCAGCACCTTCAATAGGGACTGCGGCTCTAAAATTGGACTCTACTCTCATGAAAGGACTCATCGGTAATGCCTCGATAGAATACTCATGCGTTGGCACACGACGCAAGAATCAATACACTGGCATATGCCGACTTTATATTTAGGCTTACCCCTGAATTTTATTCCATCTACATATTCCTGGATGTGTCTCACATGCTTCCTGTTAAGAAGGATAAATAAATAATCTTTTCGGTTACTTTATTTGGCCATATCATTTGATTTGATGTTTCAAGAAATGGTCAAACCATATATTTAGTATGGATTAGTTTTTGAGTAAAAAATGGACAGTAAGAGTTCCACATTGTTGCTGAAAGAGTCGGTTTCAAATAGTGATGTCTTCTGTCCATCAAAGAAATAGTGTTATTCCAAAACGCTAGAACCGATACGAAAATCTCCATATATATACAGGTTTCCTTCTTTTTTTTTTACAACACAAACTTAATTAATCGACAACAGAAGATTTCTCTTTCCTTATTTGTGAATATGGCTGATTTGACTTTGATTTTACAGTCAGGAGCAACTATGCTAGCAACATTTATGACTGGTGTAAGACATTGTCTATTATAATATCTGATGATTTGTATGTTCCATGTTGACTTTTCTTTTTTAGGCTAGTTCCATAAAACTTGTGTAAGTGTATAGTTCAACCAGATTCCGAAGATGCATTATTTTTAACCACTTCAAAAATTACCTGTGTATAGTGCGAGCAACGGAGGCATGGTGAAGTAATGTTTAGCAACTCGAATTGAGGAATCGGCGAGCCGAGTTCGAATTCCAGTCAAATCTATTAGATTCACAGGTGCTAATACCCTTGGGAAATGTATGAATCCTCTACCTCTCCCACCAGCTATGGGTAAATAGCAACACAGACAGGTTTCTATAGTCTCGGATGGCAACTGGCTTACTGCAGAAAGAAATGACAACCTACTGCTGGAAAAAATCTACCTCATCGGCCATGTATCTTTCGATACATGATCTAATAAGCGAGTATCACTCATGTCACATAAATGACTGACTATTTATTGCTATTTGTTCACACTATACGCGAGTATATACGGTAATCACCTCTATATTTATTGATCTTATTCTGGAGTATGAAATTTAATATATCAATAATTTGCAGATTAAATGCAAAATTGCTTCATTCTACAGATTGCCATGTGACCATTTTGAGGCAACATTCTTAACCCTACAACACTAATCATCAATTAAAGTTACACCAATACTAACCATGGGTATATCATACCCGATTTTGAAAATATCAAAAAAAAAATTAAATATAAATCTTGATTTGAAATATTTTACACGCAAGCACTTCAAACTTTGAATTAACATTAATAGAAACTGAAAAGCATATTATTTAGGGAAGAAAATCAGATACTGAAAATTGTAATTAAAAATAGGAAAATTTGCACTGGGTACTATATATCTATGGTTAGTGTTCTAGAGTTAAAGAATCGGGGAACGTATATAAGATCGTATTTTTAGCGAGGAAATTGCCATTATTTAATTATATTTATTTCTCTGCAATATAAAGACAAAAATATACTCCATGTTTGCTTATTGTATCATGTTGATAATATTGATTTAAAATATTACCTTTGAAATTTGAACACATATCTAGCTGTCAAATAATTCAACTATTGGATCGTATCTTATATTCGTTTAAGGATTAATAAAATATACATTAAAAACTATGAAGTATGTAACCAGCAATATTCATCGCTACTAAGACTAATATACTAGGAAAATACTACAAGTTGTAGGTAAGTTAAAATTTTTCCAGTATTTCTGGATAATAGAAAGATGATTTAAGCTTGTTATAATTATAGATTCTAGCATTGGGAAATGTTCAAGTTTTGCTTTAAATACTTTTCTGCAAGATAGAATAATAACTAATCACTAGTTTGATCGTAAGATCTTTTGAAGTTTTAAATAACCTAATTGATTTTATTTTTGCTATCATTTCTCTTCAATCGGATTATGCCAACGAGTTACCAAAATAATCCAACGTCAATGAAGCGAATCAATTCCCAGTTAACTCAATTCATCTATCCTTAGAAGGAATTAATTAAAAAATAATATTAATATGGATACTGCAAGAAGTATCACATTGTATGGCTGAAATGGAATTTGATTGGTCGAGAAATTATTATATTTTTATATAATCAAAAAATTAGTGCTGATCAACCTGCATCGAAATGTAACGATTTTTAAATTTAGTCTTTTGTGATCGATATTTTTTTGTTTTTTGGTCTATAGTAGAAGTATGTTTTTTTGTTAACCTTTGTTTAAAAAAATGCCTAAGAAAACCACCAATTTTAAATATAATTTCTTAATTCCTGAAGTCCTCTAGAGACATCGATTGAGAAAGCTAATCAATAAATTCAATATCTTGCATCAACGATCGATGTAAATAAAATTAGAAAATAGCTTCGTTACATAAAAATACTCATGGAGAAGGAAATTCAAACGGGAAATGTAAGATGCAAATATTCTCGATTAACTCAATCTCGACATGAATACATACAAACGAAAGCCTCCAAATACGGGTGTGCATCCGTGTGTGCTTGTGGGTGTGTGTGTGCTTGAGTGTGTGTGTGCATGTGTGTGTGTGTGCGTGTGTGTGTGCACGTACGCGCGCTCACATATAGGCAGGCAGAGAAAAATGTAATAGGATGTTTGTTGTGCATCGATAGTTACGAAGCCACTATTTCATTCCATTGCTTAAAATTCAAATCTCAGTCTGTGCTCAGGACTCATTGCAGATAAGCATAAACAAACGGGCGACAATTTTGGTAGACTTTTTGGTGGCTAACAGCTTCCTATGGCATAGTTACTAGATCCATTCATCAGCTCATAAAATCGAGAACATGAACGATGTCTGTGGAAATTAAGCTTACATTTTTTTTTTAATCCACTGAATATTAGAAGCAAAAATGCAAACACTTGGACAAAATAGTATTGATTCATATATACGACAGTTAGGTACGAATGAAATTGTTTACACTTTACCATATATATATATATATATATATATATATATATATATATATATATATATATCGTAAATATATATATATATATATATATATGTTGTGGAGTTATTCCGCAGTGGAGGCTTGTATTTGTACTAAGTCGGTCCTAATATAGGTTCGACGTACAAAACATTAGGAACTTGTTATAATAGGTATAACGCAGAGTAATCTAGTTGTGGTCGCTGATACTTTCGTATTCGACTAACTGTCGTCCGACATCGACTCACTGAATGACTGACTCCCTTGTTTCTCTTACTACTCCTACTAATTATAGGTGGGAGAGTCTATTAACTATAGAATAGGTGTGTTCCGCCATAACAATATATATATATATATATATATATATATATATATATATATATATGTGTGTGTGTGTGTGTTTGTGTGTGTTTGCATGCACGTTTGTGACTAATAAGCTTAATGCGGGACAGGCATACACGGTTGAAAGTCTGACCTGGGCGGCGAGATGGCATAGAATTACAGTAGTGCCTCCTCTGCCTCTTGTCCCTGAGAGCGGCCCTGCAGTTATTTTCAAAGAAGGAGACAGCGTGGTTAGTTGTTCTCAGCTAGCTTTGACCATTGGCAATGGTTAATGTGACAGGCAGCAAAGGATTTTTTTCAGGTAATCTTTGTATCACTGCCTTTGTGGCACCATAGCCAGTAGAGAGCACGCTGTACAATTAAATATTAGAAACATGTCCATCACAGGGCCGCTGGGATTTCAGCAGCTATATATATATATATATATATATATATATATATATATATATATTGTGTGTATTTAGGCAGCATATTTTCATTTATACACGTTTCATTAAATAATATAGACAAGTGTTGTCTATTTATTTTATGTAAATTTTGTTCGTAACATCTGATAAGTTTGATAACATTATCATTAAACGAAGAAAGAAATTTGAAGCATTATACATCAAACAGTTAAAACCCAACCTAAACAAAATCAAATATTCTTAAATGTCTATAATTGGTAACAGAAGCCATTGGTTTATACCAACGGCTTTCTTTACTTCATTCTCCAATTCACTCTCGTGTAGTCATGTGCGACGTCATGAGATGCGGTGCGATTTTCGCTTCTAGCGTCTTATATGCGCGTGTTTATCGTTGCTTAGAGATTACCTATGTAAACAATGACAGACTATCATCACTGTCGTGTCCGTATATTGTTTAATATGTTTGTAATTTACATCTTTGATAATGGCTTAAGTAAGCCGAAAGCTTAGATTATATTAAAAAAAATATGGATCAATATTGTGAATTTCTTTCTTCGTTTAATGATAATGTTATCAAACTTATCAGATGTTACGAACAATATTTACATAAAATAAATAGACAACACTTGTCTATATTATTTAATGAAACGTGTATATATATATATATATATATGTGTGTGTGTGTGTGTGTGCGTGCGTGTGTGTGTGTGTGTGTGCAAATACATAGAAAAATAGGAAAGAACACATTAGGTAAATAATCCGAAGTTATTTAGTTTTTCTGTTTCTATTTAAAAGAAGAAAGAAAACAGTGCTCAATAAAAAAAAGTAAATTATATAAATTATATATATATATATATATATATATATATATATACATATATATATATATATATATATATTTATACACGTTTCATTAAATGAAAATATGCTGCCACACAAATATATATATAAATATATATATATATATATATATATATATATATATATATATATATATATATATATTTAATGAGAGAGGGATCATATTTTATTAATAAAATAGGATACAAAAAAATCACAGCGATTATGATTTTAGGTCCCCTTCGGCCGTCACATTCAGAATAAACAAAATCGGCAGCAAAATAAACCCAATCAGTTGAAAAGAAAAATTATTTTTGCACGCCTGATGTTAAAGAAATACCAAGAGTAGCGAGGAAAACAAAAAGAACCATATTCCTAGTTAGGCATTGAATTAAAGACTTGGCTCCCTGAATAAG